TAAGCCTTGTTGACTGCAAGTAATTCCCCTGAAAAGAATTCTCCAGATATCCAAAGATTATAAGTTTTTTGTTTCCAACTTAGAATCTCCTAGAACTTTGGAAACACACAAAGGAAACTAAATTTAACTATGATAATTTATATACTCTGCTATTTTTTTTAAATAAAGTACCTGTAGCTAATAAAATGTTATCTGATAAATAGTACATGATGAATTGTCTATTAGACAACAAAACATTTCTTCTCAGATAACCAAGGATAGCAGATATTATATAGCAGATCTGAATATTTTAGCTAAATGCTTAACAGATGTACCTGGCAACTTATTTCTAGATCAAAGCGCCATTACAGCTCTACAATCTTTCGGTGAAGACTGATTTTGATTATGTTCCCTTGTCTAACATGAACTCATACGATGATCATGGAGAAGACTTGAAAGTGTGAATTGTTATTTTTCTGGATACTAAGATCACATGCAACTCAGATTCTGAAGAAGATAGTCAGAAATATTCCATCTATCTTTGTTTCCAATAGAAAACAGTTATACACTATTGGGCCATAACATATAACATATAAATTATTACTAGCAAGCATTTCCAATCTTGTATGAGCTTTCCCTGTGCACCATTTATCCTTTGAACAAAAATTCAAGGAATTCCAGAAGGTGCTTTACTGGAATGCAATATTTCTTATGAATGGAAGAAAGTATATAAAAGATGCATTTAGGCTACCTCACAATATATTGAATAGATGAATATTTTTACAAGAAGTTCAAACTAATTCAAATTGTGAGACACCAACATTGTCAGCAGTAAAAAAAATTATCTTATCCTACCCTTCTCCTTCCTCACATTCCTAATCTTATATCCACCCAGGAAATTGTCTATGGAGATTCTCAGTCATCCAGGTCATGGTTGTCCTAAAGATGCTTTTTCAAAAGGCAACAGTTGACTCTTGAAAAAGCACCTTTGGGACACCCAGGAAAGGCAAAATGAAGAAAAAAGAAATAAAAATAGATCCTAAGGATGGAAGTGAATAATCTTGTGGAGGGGACTTCCATATTGAAAAATGAAGAGCTTGTTTACATAGTAAGGCACATGGTGGGAAAGGACAGATAATGCAATAATCTCACTTGACTTCAACATTGAAGCCTGAGGAAAAGCAATAGTTTTTTTACCCACAAGCAGACAATATCTCTGGCATTATGAAAAGTTTATAATCTGGTTTCTCTGACATCTGACTGCAGGGCTTGCTGTTTGAAAAAAATAAACTTTGCCTAAATTGGACCTCTGGTCTGCCTCAGCAGTCATTCTTAAATGAAATGAAAGTTATACAGACATATTCCCACAACCTCCATCTTCTCATGATAATTTTATTAAACTATTTCTAGTCTACTACTGTTCAGATTTAAAAAAAAAATACTAAGATCCCTGTCCCAAGTTTAACCATCTGTATAAAGGGGGAAAAAAAAGGAAGAAGAGAGTTTAAGGGAAAATAAAAATGAAGCTTGTACGATTAAAAGAAAAGAAAATAATAATATACTATTACACAGAAAAAATGGTAAATAGAGAATTGTATCAAAATAAATTTTAAGTAAATTTCAAAACAAAAAAGAGAAAGAGAAACATCTAATAGAATTAATTTCAATATATAAGTGACAAAGAAATAAAACATGCCAAAAGAAGATAAATAATGCAACATATAGAATTTAAGATATTTAGTTTTGATTCCATTTCTATAAGCATGAATTAGTTTTTTGCTTAAATTAGTATCAAAGCCTACTATCATATTTAACCAAAAGGAAGATCACAAAGGAAGAGCAGAGAGAAAGAGAGAGAAGAGGTGCTGGGATTAAAACTTGTAAAAATATACAGGGGGGATGCCTCAGCAGAAATTTAAACTATCTGTTCCATGTATAGTAATTAACTGCATGTAACAACAGCTTTCTTTTACACAGAAAAAAAAAACCCATACTAATGTGGCCACATTCATATCTCTCCTTCCAGCAGAACAACTAAAGGAAGGAAAAAAGAGCCAGGTTGAGATAGGAGGGAGAGACAGGAACAGAAAAGAAAATTTAGAAGTTAACAAGTTAAATGAACATGATCAGATATCAGCTACAGCTTCTATTATTGCCTACCTTGTAGAAGTAAGGTGGTGAGATACAATTATTTCTTCATCCTTATTGCACCCACCAATAGTCATCCAGTGACTATTTTTCGGTCTCTCCATGGTGGGAGCAATACCAAAGATGACCTCTAAGCTTGTTGTGAAGAATACATTCCATATCTGATGGACAAAGTCACTTAAATTCACTTTACTTTGAACTCCAGATCTAAAGCAGAATCAACAGAGGTGGTGGAGTCTATGTCTTGCAAGATGACCTGGGAAAAGTTTGAGGAAGGGGATAGGACCCTCTCACCTGCTAGTCTGGCCACTTACTGCCTTATTAAGGCTGTGTGGAAGGGGATTTATGATTCCTTCTTGAAAGAGGGAGTGATCCCACTGACTCTTAAAGAGTTGGTGATATGACCTCCTCCTCAAAGAACTATCACTCAACCCAACTAAGCTGAACACTTTTCATCCAGTTCAAAAATTCCTTTTTGGGGAGGATGGTGACAGTATGGTTGTGTGACAATGTCAGAGGACCCTGGAGCTTCACTGGTTACCGGTGGTCCTTTGGATTCGCTTCAAGGTGCTGGAATTTACCTATAAAGCCCTACATGGCATGGGCCCGAGGTATTTGCAGGACCACCTTCTGCCGGCCTCCCACCGCCCGTGCGCTCACATAGGACAGCCCTCCTCCGGGTGCCATCGGCCAGACAATATCAGCTGGTGGTGCCTAGGATGAGGGCATTTTCTGTGGGCGCACTGACCCTCTGGAATGGATTACCTACGGGGCTCCGGACGGCCCCCGACCTCCACTCTTTCCGCTGTGACCTGAAGACATGGCTTTTCCAACAAATCTGCTGATCTGATGGGTGATTTTAATTGGGAGATTTTAAATTGATTGTTTTTAGTAGTCTATTTTATTGTTCTTATCGTTTAATTCTGTGAGCCGCCCCAAGTCCTTAGGGAGAAGGACGGCATATAAGTATGATAAAATAAATAAATAAATAAATAAATATGGTCTGTACTTTGTGAGGTGCCTCAGGGCTTGGTCTTCTCTCCTCTCCTAATTAGTATTTATTTGATGTTGTTGTATGTATTTATTGTTTGGATGTTGTAATTGTCTTAACTGTTTTATAGTCTTAGAGCTGTAAGCCACCCAGAGTCACTTGGCTGAGATGGGTGGTTATAGAAATAGAATGAATAAATAAAAGCATAAATGAATAAATAAGAATCAGATGTACTGAATAGATCCCCAAACACAGCTAACACCCACTCTTTTACTTTCAGAAGTTTTTTCCTCTTATTTCCAATGAACATAGGGCAACTCAGTTCCAAATTTCAGAATTGTAAACATCTTACTTGATAAATATATCTGGATCAGAGGTGGGATTCACATAATTTACCTACCGGTTCGCCCAACACCAAAAATGTGAGCGCGCGCTCACAAAAATATTAATTAATCAAGAGATTTCATTTCAAATGACTTATTCAATCTGACTTCTTTGAAATTCAACTGTGTATGAATTCTTAGTTATAGATAATTAAACAGAGATATTTAATAATCATTTGGAATAATAAAAGGTCTCTACTGGTTTTCATCCTCTTTCTACTGTCATTTTGAGATAATGTATCAATAACATCAACTGCATATTTGTGGTCAAAAGAGGAGTTGCAATACTCTGTCCATCGTTTTGCTGATTTCAATCCACTCTGAATGGTGCTGAAACGTGCATATTTCCTCCACTCTGAAAGTGAATTAAATTTCTGAACATACTCTAGGTTGTCATTTAGATTTTCTCAAAAGACTATGTTATTTAATATGAACTAATTTATATTTAATCACCTATGTACTCGCTGCAGACTTAAGCTACATGTATGTACAATATGGATGTACATGTTTCTAAGGATCTCTATCATGAGATACAAGCCACTGAAACAGGAAATAAAGAGACACTTTAAAAACACAACCAAGGATTATTATAGTGAATGGGGAAAGTATTCCATTCTGGAGATTAAAGACTAGATTCAGCTTTTCCAGGTTTGATAACTATTGATTGGGTCTATTATTCATTATCTCTTATTTGATCTATGGCACCTTGTTATCTTCCTCCTCACAGAAGTTCAGCATGTTTCCAGTATATCCCAATAAAATACGATTTCATAATACACAGGATTGGGTGAGGCGGGGTGGGGGTGTGGGATATTGATTTATGCAAACTTTTGAGTGGGAATTGATGGATAGTATGAGTTCATTCATTGATGCTGTTCATCTGAGTCTCTTTTGACAAACTGCCCTGTTTAACTCTCACTGCAGCCTGTGACTTTTTTTTTTTTAAATGTCTGCTTTCGATTCAAAGGCAAAAAGATACCTTGGTGCTCAAACATAACATCTATTTGCAGCTTCTTCAACCAAATGAGTCTTTTCCCAGGATGTGTAGCAATTGTGTAATCCCAGAATATATTGGATCTGCTTTATGGATACATAGATTACTAAGCAATACTTATGCTTAACAGTCTTCCTTCAATCAAATTCTTAAACACCTCTTGGTTGTAACCATTCCCATTTTTGATGCAATCACTTTAGATGTCTTTCAGTTTTCTTGGAATAGTTATTGTATTTTCAGTGATTTCTCCTCAATACTTGTTATGGATTCTTTTCTCTATTGCTACATATTTTATTTCTAGAATATAGTTTAGCATTTTATCTGAGTTTACTAAATTCAACTTTCTTGAAACTCAAGCATGTATTTCCAGACCTTTTTTTTTTTTTTTTAAATATAGCCTCCCTCAATATCAAAGCTACATGCCTTTTTTCGCTCTGTGGAAGAAATTTCCAGACATTTGTAACTTAATTAAGAAAGTTATTAATATCAGTATTATTTATTTTACCTGTACGTTGATCTTCAATGCAGCTTTGCAGATATGTGAAGACAATTAGACCTGCTACTCCAAACGCCAGTACAGATACATATATTAGTTTCAGATTCATGGCCCTACTTTTGAACAACTCCAGAAGAGGGCATAGCTCACTTTTCAGAAATTCTGCATATTTTTTTCTCCTCTGGTTTTTCTAGAAAATATGATCTGGAAAGATACAATAAAAACAATTGATTTTCTATTATTTTCCATTTCTCCTACAACTTTTATGCACAGATAATTATATTTTAACCACTTTCTGTAATCAACCTTAGAATTTAAAACACCTCTATGATTCCTACGTCAAGATTCACAAAGTAGGGACCTTAAGGTCAAAAGAAACTGAATCAAAACACTCTACATACTAATGAGTGATTGCTTAGATTTATGAACCACAGAAGCATATTAATCTACAATGCTCCAACAGTTTCTATTGCTTGCTCGTGCATGCTTGGATGACATATAAAACAAAGGCAGATTTAAAAAAATATTTATCTTCATTTTTTAATGAAGCTGTTACCAAACAACAACTTTGTATCCAACAACTTGCCATTTTGTAGAAATATGTATTTCAAAGGAAAGGAAATTTGTTCCACTTCAATTACGTTTAATTTGCAATACCACAAATGTTTTTTCCACACACTTCCAATATCAACATACAGCCTGGAGGTAAGATAAAATGTTCACTAACTTCACATAGATCTATGTTAGTATTTTAATTGAAAGCATTGTGACAATATTTATCAGATATATTGAAGGTATGAAACTGGAACAAAGAGCTATCATCTGAATCAGCAGGAAAAATATTCAGAAGGGCATGAATATAACACAAAAGTAAGCAAAAAATTTAATCAAGACAATAATTATTCAACCTTCTAGTTCCGTCTTTCTCCAACAATGAACTCTTATGGAAAAATGAAGTCTTTTTAATATTTTCTGTTTTTATTTTGGTCTGTAAAACAGTAGTAGAAAACTCATCTATGTGAGGGTTTATGCTAAGGCCAGGAGCCTATCAGTGGTCTATTCCTTATTCAAGCTTTTCTCCCAGAAACTTCCCTATTTCTTTTCTTTTTTATAGCAAAACACACCTATAGACACAGGCAGAGCCCACTTCTTGGGATCCAACATGAGCACTGGTACCCATGTTTACTCATAGCCAGGGTTGAAATGCTACTGGTTTGCACCAGTTCAGGTGAACCAGTAATGATAAAAGGCACCGGTTTGGGCAAACTGGTAGTAAAAAAAAGCTACCAGTTCGGGTGAACCAGTAGTTAAAAAAAGCTACCAGTTCATCTGAACCGGTATTTCTGACAATCAGCTGTGCTGTACGATTTATATTCGCTAGAAAGCAGGAAATCCTGTTTTCTAGCGAATCTAAATCGTGTGGCAAAGCTGTTAGCCCCTCACTGTTCTACTTATCTTGTTAAGCCTTTTTTTCCATGCAAAGCACACCTTTGGTGCGCACTGTGCATGTGTGCACATGCAGTGTGTGTTTGGTGCATACTGCACATGCCCACGCAGCTTGCATTTGGTGTGAACTGTGCATGCATGGGTGGCGAACTGGTGGCAATCTGCGGAGGATTTCACCATTGCTCATAGCACAATAAGAGATGTTTTTGTGCACTCTCTGGAGCTCTCCATCTACATCACATCAAAAGATAGTTACTTGTAATATCAGAAGCTGGTTAGCCACTTAGTCCTCATATCAAAAAACTCCTGTATCTGATTTTGTGCCTGCGTCCTGTCTACCAGCCAGATTAAATACTCACTTTTCCCACAGGCTCACTGCTTAGTTTTTCATGGACTTATTTATGGACCTCTCTGATTGCATATGTTAGGTTAGTTGAAAAGGCCAATAACAGAATTTGCACTGCAAGGTTAATGAGATAGACTGCTAAACCAAACTGTTTTGGAGATAGGATGATGAATAAATATACTACCAGAGGAAGCTAATACAAGTTATTCATTCTTAGCTATACTTTTATATGCCAAAAGTAAATCTAAAAGTAACTCCTATCAATAGCTATACAGTGTACAGTATATATTAATCTATTAACCAATTTCACAGACACTAATTAAGACAAACCTTCTTAAAAGCCAGATTCTTTCCAGTGGGTTTAAGTAAAATATGCTCAATCTGAAAGCATGTTGAAGAATAACCTTACTTGCAACTCAGAGCATCAGAAGGAAATTATTAATTTAAATTCCTTTCTTCTGCCATCAAACACAGCAGGATGTTATAGCTGACAAAAATGCAATGTGAAAATGGTCTGTAGACTGCATGAAAAACTAAGACTACAATGTGTTTGCAGTCCTAGCACATTATTATTCAGTTGACTATACTACAGAGGGAATATTAAACTTCTTAGTCCCTTCTGGAAGCAGAGTGTAATAGTAATTATATTTAAAGAACTTTCTGGTAGATTATGACAAAAATAACAAAAATATAAAGAGAATATTTGAAAATAACCATTTCAAAGTATTTTTTGTTTTGTTTGACATCCTGATAGAGAAATTTCTATTGAAACAGGCCTGTGAACAAGTTATAGCATTATTGAGAATCAATTAGTTAGGACTACATGAGATCAATACAATCTACAAAAATATCAGCTTTACATCATTTTACTTTTGCACTTTATTAAGCAACGTGTTATCAGGCCTGTCAACTCAATACAGTTTCCAGTTGTTCATTCACACCTTCCCAGAACCTTGAGATAATGCGGCTGAAATTTCACAATGATGAGATTTTTTTTTTACAGTTTTATTTTAAAATTAAGGATGGGAGTGGAACCCTTCTGGGAATCAAAACAGTTTCAATTTCACCATTAAAAATCTCAACTCCCAAAATTTTGCTCAAAACAGCCAGCTTGAGCTAGCAGTTAAGATACCAAGCTAGAAAGCAGGAGACAATGAATTCTAGTCCTGCCTTAGGCATGAGAGCTGGCTGGGTGTCTGGGCCAGTCACACTCCCTCAGTGCATCCCACTTCATAGAGTTGTTTTTGTGGGGAAAATAGGAATATTAGGTATGCTTGCTGCCTTGAGATATTTATAAAAATAAAAGTAAGAAAAAATAATGCTTCCCCCAAAGGCAGTTTAAAGTGCTTTGGGAAGTCTGGAAGTTTGGAATGGTGGAGATCAAAAGAGTTTGCCCCTTGGAAGCTTCTGAATACATTTTCACTATTAAACACTTTCTAAATAATTTTAAAAGACAGAAAGAAATTATATTCTGCCTTTTGCAGTGGCCTAACATCAATAGATAAATTCCTGAGGCCCGCCAGAAGCCAGAATAAAGAGTTGCAGTTGCTGACATTTAACTTGCTGCCTCTTCTGATGAAAAAATAAGCATCATTTAAATTAAAATAAAAAATAAAATTAAAAATTGGTCAATAAATTAAGCATCAGTAAAGAGACACAGAAAAAATGGCATGATAATTAAATGCTGCCCATGAAATATATAACATATAAGAAATGGCAGTGATTTTGCACAGAAAATTCTTGCATTCCATTTTAAGGATCTTCTCTGAAAAATTCTATTACAATTACCTAAATATCTAAAGAGGTTGGTAAAAATGATCTTTATTTTCTCTCTCTAATACAGTTTTTCCCAACTTCTAGACTCAAGGTATGCATAGATTTCATGCTATCCTTAGCCATATTTCTTAGAATGATAGACATTATCTTTGACATAACAGGCCCTAAAGCTGGGAAATGTTAGGATGCTCGAATAGATTTGTGAAGCTAAAGTAACATCAATGATGATCTTTGCCCTGACAATCTTTTGGATTTTGAAGGAAATTGTCATCAGCTAAATTTCACCCTTTATTTTAATGACGTGTGAACTTTAATTTGTATTCACTTACATAATGGTCAGGATCTAAAAGAGTATGCAAAAAGTACGGGCCTTTGGATTGTTTTTAAGCAACTTTCTTTATTTTCTCCATACTGCTTGGCAAACTTCTCTGAAAATTAAGAAAGGTGTCACCCAAATACATTTCTACATCTTAGCCAATGTTTCATGAGATATAGAACAATGTTAAATGGGCCCTCATCAGAAGTGGTATTCAGCAGGTTCTGACCAGTTCTGGAGAACCAGTAGCGGAAATTTTGAGTAGTTCGGAAAACCGGTAAATACCACTGACTGGCCCCGCCCCCATCTATTCTCTGCCTCCCAAGTCCCAGCTGATCGGAGAAATGGGGACTTTGCAGTAACCTTCCCTTGGACTGGGGAGGGAATGGAAATTTTATAGTATCCCTCCCCTGCCACGCCCACCAAGCCATGCCTCGCCCACCAAGCCACACCCACAGAACCGGTAGTAAAAAATGTTGAATCCCACCACTGGTCCTCATGCAGAGAGGTTTTCTCCACCAACTTCAATAGTAAAAATAGTTTGGCATAAATCAATAAAGCGTCCAAATGGTACATTTAAAAAAAATCATGTTGAATTATATTTAGCAACTATTATGTATAGAAAATAAACCATCTGTTTTATTATTTGCTTCTTTTTTATATAGGATTGTTTTTAGGCATTTCCAAGTAAGGTTTTTATAAAACATGCTGTTCATTTTACTACTTTATTAATTTTTCATTTTTAGAGCTAGTTTATGGCTTACTCTTCTCTTGCTTCTTTGCAACTTTGCTAGTTTTTGGTGCTGTTCTCCAATTCACTTACCAAAATGGGCCACCATAAGAACAATATAGAGAGCATTATTCTCAGGATATGTTAGTCCTGACAGAACATTTGTTGGCATGAAACAATCAGTGATACTTAAGCATTTTCAGATCAACAAGCAAAAGTTTTGACTTAAGTAATTCAGATTTTACTACATACAGCTATTGTAAAATACTATGTCATTTTGGAACAGTGATGAACTTAGGGCAATTTCCATTTTAGAAGTTTGGCAGTAATCCTAATTAAAATATGTGGTATTTGAAATTCTATTCTGTTAAGTTTTAATTAAAAGTTGTACACTTCAGGCTCAAACTATCTGCACATTAGATGCAGTTTTGCATCTGTTATTCTATATAAGATTTTAGCAAGTGTCATCTTGATTAATCTGAGCAGTTAATGCAATGATTTCTGATCTACAGCCTGTGCTTATAAGCCTCATTAAATCCATGACTATGACACCAAGATAGATCATTGCCTTCTGTGTCAAACATAGCAGG